GGTGAAACCCCGTCTCTACTAAAAATACAAAAAATCAGCTGGGCATGGTGGCGCGCGCCTGTAATCCCAGCTACTCAGGAGGCTGAGGCTGGCGAATTGCCTGAACCCAGGAGGCGGAGGTTGCGGTGAGCCGAGATCGCGCCATTGCACTCCAGCCTGGGTAACATGAGTGAAACTCCATCTCAAAAAAAAAAAAAAACCCTCCACCAGCAAAAGAATTATGACTCACTGAAGGCCTAACTGATCATTAGCATTTTTTAGCAATAAAATATTTTTTAATCAATGTATACATTGTATTTTAGACATAGTGCTATTGCACACTTAATAGACCACAGTATATTATAAATATTAGTTTTATATGCACAAGGAAGCAAAACATATTGTTACTCACTTTATTGCAATATTCACTTTTTTGTGGTGGTTTGGAATAGAAACAGCAACAGAAACACGGTCTGCCTGCATTTTTAGTTTTGCATATAGAGATCTTGCACATATTTAGCAAGATTTATTTATGAGTATTTAGATAATTAAATTACGATGTCAACAAATAAAGAAAAATTCCAAATTGATTTAATAGTGAAAACTGTAAGCTACTTCTGGGGATTGCCAAGGTGTAGCCCCTGCTCCTTCTGAGGGCAGCCTGCATCATAAACATGTCAACATAATTTATTGTGAGTATATAAACAGACTCCAATCTCCTCCAGCCAAAAGATAGAAAAAGTAGAACATGCCCAGTAGCCCAGTATTTAGTTATAAGAGTATTAGAACTCCAGAGAAGGTTAACATCTCAATGCAGCCAGGTCTGCTATGCTAAGATTAAAGCCATGATTAGTAAAGAAAAGGACTCTGGGGTGTGAAATGGGGGCATTTGCAATAATGCACTTGAAAATACTGAAGCTCCAGAATCCCCTTAACTATCTGGATGCATAGAAGTGGCATATTCCTTCTTGTGAGAGACTATTGCTTATCATTGCTTGAAGTTAATGAAAAGTCCTCTGCCTTATAAAACAAAACATGATTGTCCCCAACTGCTCTCCTGGTCACCAGGTCTATAACTATTTCACAACAAAACTTATTAAGAAAATGTTGGCTTTCTAAGGGAAAGGGGACAGGACTTATATCCTATATAGAACTGCAGGATCTAGCTTAAATTCACTGTCATTAACTAAGGTATGTACAATTGAACTGGATACTGAGGGTGCTGGATCAAGTGAGTGGAATATAATGCATATTACACCAAAGACTACAGGAGACAGTGCTAATACTTTGCTAGGATAGCCCTTAGAAAACTTGGTGAAAGAGATGGCCTACATTAAGTGACTTACAAATGCTGAAATTGTTAAAGTAGATTGGGAGGAAGGACACAAACAGATCAAAAAGTTAGTTTGCAAGATTAAACAATATTACATAAGGCCAGAACACCCATAAACTGACAAAAAATGGATACTTTTATCAGAGAAATGAGGAATGTACAAATAGTGGGGAATAGTAGTTAGAAAAGCTTTCTCTCCTCTACAGGTCAGAGATCACAGCAGGAGTTAACATTTCAGAATTAAGTTCATGGAGAGCAAGGGGATGATAGAATAATAATAGAAGTCAGATGGCAGATCTTAATTCTAGAAAGAAGAGTTGTGAAATTAATATAAGTGGCAAAGCTAGAGTGGCAAAGAGACATGTCTCCACACAAATATGAAGATGGTTAATTAAAAACTTGAGTTGATAGGGACATATATATATGCATATACACATATTAGACCCTGTCTCTATAGGAAGCTGCATAGCAGAGACAGGGTCTCACTATGTTTCCCAGGCTGATCACAAACTCCTGGGCTCAAATGGCCTCCAAAGTGCTGGGAATATAGGTATGACCCCGGCACCCAGTCTATCACTCCTTTTCTACTTTCTGAAAGTGTATGACTTTATTTCTTCAGTGTTTGACAGATTCACCAGTGAAGCCATCTGGACCTAGAGTTCTCTTCACAGGAACAGTTTTGATTACTAATTACTGAATAGATTTAGAAAAATTCATAATTTTTACCTTTTTTTAGTGATCCTTGGTAGTTTGTGTCACTCAAATGAGGTATCAATTTTAGCTAAATTGCCAAATTTATGTGCATCAAGTTTTTCACAATAACATTATACTTTTATTACCTATAAAATATCTAGTGATATCACATCTCTCATTCCTGTCATTCATCAGTTGCCTTCTTTCTCTTTTTCCATTAATCTCACCAGAAGTTTATTAGTCTTTTACAGATCTAACTTCTGATTTTATTAGTTATCTCTCTTTTATTTTTCTCATTCATTAATATTTGTTCTCATCTTTAATATTTATATTTATCTACATACCTTGGATTTAATTTGCTTTTTAAAAAAATTTTTCCATGATGGAAGCTTAAATGATTTTAAATTGTTCTTCTTTCCTAATATCATTTACGGATACAAATTTTCCTCAAAGCACAACTTTAATGTCATTCTACTAATTTTTATAAGTTTTTAAATTTTATTTTGGCTTAAAATATTTTTCTCACTTTTCTTATGACTTCTCCTTTGATGCATAGATTACTTAATGTGTCTGAAATTTGCAAATATTTGAGAAATATTTTAGGCTGAATAGCCCCCAATGATATCTGCATAATAATCCCTGGAAACTGTGAATGTTACCTTACATGGCAAAAAAGACCTTGCAAGTATAAAATTAAGGGTTTTAGATGGGAAGGTTATCCAGTATTACCTGGGTATATTCTAACTGTAATCTCAAGGGTTTTATAAAACGAAAACAAAGGGAGACTTGAATACTTAAAAGAAGACAATGAGACAACAGAAATAGATTTTTGAGTGATGTGGCCACAAGCTGAGGGATGCTAGCAGCCACTAGCTGGTATGAGAGACAATAGTTTCTTTGTCTGGAGTCTCCAGAAGAAGCCAGCCTTATCAACACCTTGATTTTATACTCATAAGACTCATTTTGTATTTCTGACCTACAGAACTGTATGAAAATTATTTGCTGTTTTTAAAGCAAGTTTATGATAATTTGTTTTACAGAAGCAATAGGAAACTAATAGTGGAATTTTACCAGATACCTTTCAGTTATTAATTTCTAATTTGCAATTTTAGTCTAATTATATATGCTGTAAGATTTAAGTATTTCAAAATGTATTGAAATCTATTTTAGGAGCAAAAATATGATTTATTTTGGTGAATATATGTCAGTATCAATGCATGAGACAGAATTCACACATATCTGCTTTCAAACATTGTATTATATATCTAAAAAAGTCTTTTATATCTGGGTTTGGATTTCTTTGTTCTTATTGTGCTTAGGTTTAGCTAAACTTCTTGGACCTCTAAATCAATGTGTTTTTAAAATAATATTTGGAAAATTTTTACTCATTATATGCTTGATTTTTATTCTTTTTCTTACGGAATTCCAATTGCATGTATATTAGGCCATTTGCTGTACTTCAACAGGTCCTTGAGCCTTTAATCACTTCTCTTCAATATTTTTCCACTCTCTGTTCTTCACTTTGAACAACGTCTATTGACGTTTTAGAGTTCACTAACCTTTACTTCAGCCAACAGCACTATTTATTCCTGCAGGGATTTTTAAATTCAATTATTTAACCCATCTGTAATTTATTTTGCTTTCAGGGCTAAAGAAGGAAACAATCTTCTAAATATTTTATCTTCCTTGATGGCTGGTTATCTCAAGGCAATTTATTGAATTAGACATTAGTTTTCAAATAGAGCTCCACAAAAATCTAGGTGACACTCTCTTTCTCTAGAGTCTATGCATTGCTTCAATGATTTCAAATGTACATTTCTGATCATGTCATTTCCCAAAAATTAACAGTATTGTAAACAAAACTCATTTGCACAATTTGGGCATTAAATGCCTTTTATCTAGGGGAATAAATAGTAATTGCAGTCCCCAAGCTAAAGTCTTATATGGTTATCTTGCAAAAATGGTGTCCTTTGTTTCTTCTGTAAATAGAGAAATTGCATACAGCTGAAAAGACTGAAGTTTTTAAGAAACCCAGGCTAATTTTTTATGCAGCTCAATTTTGCCAAAATATATCTTAATAAGTATTCTTTTTATCAGCCATTTAATTTTATCACAAATTTTATTTATTTATAACACTAAATTTTCTTCACATATGATTTTTAGAGTATTATTTATGTAACATGGTATATATTCATCATCACTATTCCTTCCCAAAAAAGGGAATAAATAAATAAAGATGGAACTTTAATTCTTTCTTTTCTGCCAATGTTATTGAACCAGAAGTTTCTACCTCCAAAATCAATTCTTAAATTCAGGCTTTTGTCTTTCCTCAACTTGTCGTCCTCAACTTGTCGTGTGTGTGTGTGTGTGTGTGTGTGTGTGTGCGTGTGTGTGTGTGTGTGTGTGTGTGTGTGTGTGTGTAGGGGGATGTATATATCTGTATGAGAGAGAAACAGAGAGAGATAGAATGATAGGGTTTTTTAATGAGAGAAAAGTTGTGGTCAGTCTTATGTATTAAAAAAAAACTTTTAATAAACTAAAATCATAATAGGTTTTGAAGCACTACTCAACAGTACCACCTGCAGGGGTCAGTAATAACATGTTTTTTCTTGAGCCTGGCACCCTTTTCTATTAACTGTTCAAGGGAAATATATACATACCATAGGGTAAATGGAAAATAAATTGCTATACTATTTTTAGCTTAATATTGGTAATCATAAATGCAGAACTTTCTAAAATTTGTGACTTATATACAAGGACTAAGTGAAGCTTCATTTTCTCCCTACAACCAAACTTTAATATTACCACAAAACAGGCAACAAGTCAAAGACATGACCGAGTTATGATATACTCAATGGATAAAAACATGAAGACTAAAGAGCAGTGTTGCAAGGATTTAGGCAAGGCATTCCTTTGTAAATTTGACACAGTGGAGATGCAAAGCAAAAGTTAAACAAAAAAAGCTTTTTGGAATTGCTCAGAGGTAGGACCTGTGTCCTTTTACAAAAATAATTTTATGCAGTATAATAAGATTCTCTTTTACACCACTTTAAATCTCCTTTTCCCCCCTTCTTTTTCCAGCCACTGCTGCAGGGAACAGCTCCAAAGCTTGGATCAATTTTACACAAGTGCAAATTGTCAGTACCTTTACCTCGGGCTCAAATCATGTAACCTTTACATGTACCCTAGGGCTCCTCACACTGTTTCTCACCGGGTTTATTTTGCACTGGCTTAGTGGAATGTCTGCCTAAACTGTTCAGAACTCACGTGAAAGTTTGTGAAAGTTAATATTCATGTGATTACCTTGACGAATGGAGGATGGAAATCACTGGATAAATGCTTTCTCTTCTCTTCCCCGAGGGAGACAATTTGAGGTCCACTTCATAGAATTCTGCAGAAAGGTACACTGGATCAAGAACTAGTCATTCATGCTGTCAGACAAGTTGATAATGCATTTCTCCAAATTGGCGGAGTTTTTTTCCTCCCAGTTACTCTCCTCCCTGTACTTCACTCCTAATCTGTGGAAACATATTCTCACATGAAATACTTATATATTATTTTCATCTCACGCTCTGCTTCAAAAGTGAAACCCAGCCTAAGTAAATAGAAGAAGAAAAACTCAGTGGTGGTACCCTTTAATTTATCATCACCGCATACTCTAGAAAATAACCTGAGTCCATTAGATTAGCACCTTGCCTCAAACAAACAAACAAACAAAAAGCAAGAAGAAGATGGAGAAATAAGCAAATTCTTCCTCTTCATTCGTAAATGACTGTCAAGAAACCTAAAGTTTGGTGGAAGTAAAAATCTACTTCAAAAAAGTCAAAGAAATGAATCATTAAGATATGTAATATTAGGTACTGCAAAAGTGTTCTGGGAAAAGGGAGGCTGACAGGATTCTTACTGGAGAAGGCCTCATGACACAGGGGTCGGGTGTGTCTTAAAAATGGTTTATATGAACAGCAACTGTAAGTTATTCTAGGAATGGAATTTAGAATGGGTAAATGGGAGCATTTTATGCATAGTTGAAGAAATGTGCATGATGAGTGAATGGTAGGATTGAATCGGAGAAGTAGGGTAGTAGTCAAGTTGATTTGCGCTTCATTTCCTTCTGTAGGCAATCTGCCCTTCCTTCCACATCTCTCCACCAGTTATGAGCATGCATGTTTTCTGCATAAATTTGATTCACTTACCTGCTTCTGGATTCTTGGTTTTCACCACCCATGAAGACTTCTGTCTTTGGTTATTATCTGGCTTCTTTCTAGGATCCATACATTTTCATGGTTTTAGCATATGTAAAGCTTTGCCACAGATGCTTTAATTCACCACCACATACAAATTTTACTGCCTGAGCCAAGACTGTCCCTTCCTAAGACAGGAAAAGACAGAGTTAGAAATGTAGGGTGGAATCAAGTTTGTAAAGAGTCTCTGGCAAATGGGAAGAGGTTGGACATTATCACTCAAGTATAGGTTCAATTTCTGGTTCCAATTTAAACATCAAGTCCAACTCCTTTTATATTATAGCTTCCTAGGACTTAACAGATGCTTAAGGCAAGAATAAGAATAAAGAGATTCAAGACTGGCTGGACACACTGGCTCACACCTGTAATCCTAACACTTTGGGAGTCCAATGCTGGAAGATCACTTGAGGTCAGGAGTTTGAGACCAGCCTGGTGAACATGGCAAAAACCCATCTCTTATAATAATAATAATAATAATAATAATAATAAAAACAGAACAAATCAAAAATACAAAAATTAGCTGGACACAGTGGCTCACACCTGTAGTCCCAGCACTTTGGAAGGTCAACGCAGGCAAATCACTTGAGGTCAGGAGTTCAAGACCAGCCTGGCCAACATGGCGAAATCCCTCTCTACTGAAAAAAAAAGAAGTACAAAAATTAGCTGGGTATGGTGGCACATGCCTGTAATCCCAGCTACTTGGGTGGCTGAGGCATGAAAATCACTTGAAGCCAGGAAGCAGAGGTTGCTTATTCACTATCACAAGAACAGCATGGGAAAGATGTGCCCCATGATTCAATTACCTCCCACGAGGTCCCTCCCACAGTATGTGGAAATTCAAGATGAGATTTGGGTACAGACACAGCCAAAGCATATCATTCCACTCCTAGCCCCTTTCAAATCTCATGTCCTCACATTTCAAAACTAGTAATGCTTTCTCAACAGTCTTCCAACAGCTTACCTCATTTCAGCATTAATTCAACAGTCCATGGTCCAGTCTGATCCAAGACAATGCAAGTCCTTTCAACCTATGAGCCTGTAAAATCAAAAGCAAGTTAGTTACTTCCTAGATACAATGAGGGTACAGGCATTAGATAAATACAGCCATTCCGAATGGGAGAAATTGACCAAAACCAAGGGGTTACAGGCACTATGCAAGTCCAAAATCCAGCAGGGCGGTCAAATCTTAAAGTTCCAAAATGATTCCCTTTCACCCCATGTCTCACATCCAAGTCAAGCTGATGCAACAGGTGGGTTTCTGTGGTCTTGGCCAGCTCCACCCCTGTGGCTTTGCAGGTACAGCCTCCCTCCTGGCTGCTTTCACAGGCTGGCACTGTCTGTGACTTTTCCAGGTACATCGTGCAAGCTGTCAGGTGGATCTATCATTCTGGGGTCTGGAGGATAGTGGCCCTCTTCTCACAGCTCCACTAGATGGTACCCCACTAAGGACTCTGTGTGGGAGTGCGTACCCCACATTTTCCTTCTGCATTGCCTTAGCAGAGTTTCTCCATGAGGGACCCACCCTTGCAACAAACTTCTGCCTGGGCATCCAGTCATTTCCATACATCTTCTGAAATCTAGGTGGAGGTTCCCAAACCTCAATTCTTGACTTCTGTGCACCTGCAGGCTCAACACTATGTGGAAGCTGCCAAGGCTTAGGGCTTGTACCCTCTAAAGCAACAGACAAAGCTGTACCTTGGCTCTTTTAATTCATGGCAGGAATGTCTGGGATACAGGGTAGCTAGTCCCTATGCTGCATACAGCAGAAGGACCCTGAGCCCAGCCTATGAAACCATTTTTTCCTCCTAAACCTCTGGGCCTGTGATGGAAGGGGTTCCTGTAGAGATGGCTGACATGCCCTGGAGACATTTTTCCCCATTTTCCTGGAGATTAACATTCAGCTCCTCATTACTTATGCAAATTTATGCAACTGGCTTAAATTTCTCCTCAGAAAATGGGATTTTCTTTTCTATCACATTGTCAGGCTGCAAATTTTCCAAATTTTTATGCTCTGCTTCCCTTATGAAATTGAGTGCCTTTAACAGTACTCAACTCACCTCTTGAATGCTTTGCTACTTAGAAGTTTCTTCCACCAAATACCCTAAAATATCTCTCTCAAGGTCAAAGTTCCACAAATCTCTAGGGCAGGGGAAAAATGCTGCCAGTCTCTTTGCTAAACCATAACAAGAGTTACCTTTTCTACATTTCCAACAAGTTCCTCATCTAAGACTGCCTCAGCCTGGACCTTATTGTTCATATCACTATCAGCATTTTTGTCAAAGCCATTCAATAAGTCTCTAGGAAGTTCCAAATGTTCCCACATTTTCCTTTTCCCTTTTCCTTTTTCTGAGCCCTCCAAACTGTTCCAGCCCTGCCTATTACACAGTTCCAAAGTCTTTTCCATATTTTTGGGTATCTTTTCAGCAATGCCCCATTCTACTGGTGCCAATTTACTGTAGTAGTCCATTTTCACACTCCTGATAAAGACACACCCAAGACTGGGCAATTTACCCAAGAAATTTTTACTGGACTTACAGTTCCCTGTGGCTGAGGAGGCCTTACAATCATGGTGGAAGATAAAAGGCATGTCTCACATGGTTGCAGACAAAAGAACTTGTGCAGAGACGTTCCCTATTTTAAAGCTGTTCAGATCTCATGAGACTTACTATAGCTAGTACAGCACAGGAAAGACCTGCACCCATGATTCAGTTACCTCCCACCAGGTCCCTCCCACAACATGTGGAAATTCAAGATGAGATCTGGGTAGGGACATAGTCAAATCATATCAGCATATGACAGGGCAAGAGAGGGAGAAAGGAGAAAGAGGGAGAAAGGTGACATGTTGTTTTAAACAACCAGATCTCATGTGAACCAGAGAAAGAACTCCTCATTATTCCAAGGGCAGCACCAAAGCATTCATGAGCAACCCACCCCCATGACACAAACACCTCCCACCAGACCCCACACCTCCAACATTGAGGATTACACTTCAACATGAGATTTAGAGGGGACAAACATCCAAACCATATCAGTGAGAGAAAAAAAAATCATGATTCTTAGGTTTCTGCTTTGGGCAAATGGATATCTTTTGGAAAGGAAAGTGGGAAATAAAATGTGAAGCTTTATAATCTAGCTTCTAGTACTCATCTGTTTGGCGACATTTTGTGATCTCTAAGCTTCACTCACTCTGGACCCCAAATATTTTCTAATTATAGCACATGGCAAAAGACTCAGATTCTGGATTCAGCCTGTGTGAAAATTCTGATTCTAACACTTTTTAGTTGTTTGACAAAAATGTTTAATTTCTTTGTGCCTCAGTTTTTCTTTTAACCTGTGAAGTGGTGATAATAATTACACCCAACTAATTGGGTTGTTGTGAGGAATAAAAGACTTCTTACATGGAAAATAAGTGAAGCAGTGTCCAGCCCACAATAAATACTCAGGAAGTATCAACCATTAACACCTAGATTTCTTTTCTTTTTTTTTTTTTAAAAAAAAAGACAATTTATTTGCCAGTCAAAATCTTATAAAACTCAGCCCAGCCAGAATAGTGCCAGTCACTTTGTTTGATAAGAGGATTAAAACAGACAGGCTGAAAATAAAATTCATTGTATTTTGATTTTGTTAAATGTAGTTAACAATTTTATTTTTTATATATAAATACCTATACATTTGGAATTTTAAATGTCACTTTCAAGCATTAATTCTTCAAAACAGAATGTACCGATTATCAGGTAGGAAAAGATAACATAGCAGTAAGGATGCCCCATTTCCAATCTTAAGGGACACAACTCCAGTGGATCCCAACGTGAGTCATGCTACGCATAGGCTGTGCAGCTAAACAAGGAGGTTAGTGAATAGATTGATAAAAAGAGGAGGACCTGGCATCTTATGACACATGGCAGCTTCCATCCAAATAATGTCAGCATAAACAGAACTCCTTGTTTCTCATGCTTAGCGCATGAACTATATGAGTAATAGCTAAGTAGCTCCTGTTTTCTTTGAAAACTGTCAATCAATTGGAATTAAAACTATTGTTATTTTAAGTTAAAAAAAAACCAATCTGAACATGTTTTTCCTGCATCAAAAGCTTGAATTATTCATTTTATGTTTAGATTCTCCAGGATACTTTCTTAGGATAACTTTTAGAATATGAATTTATAAATGAATATTAGGATATAAAACCAAGAAATTGAAAATATTAACAAATCATTGCAAGCAAGAAGTGTCAACTACTAATAATCATAAGAAAACTACAAAGAAATATGGGGTTACTGTTGTTTGTCATCTTCTTTTTAAATTGCCTCATAAACAATATGTAAATGTGCTAAAGCTCCTTTAAAAATGTTTTGTTGGGAGAAGATACTCCAATGCAGAGCATATAGTTAGAATTTATCTCTTGAAAGTATGAATTTTGTATAGCTCAGGGACCATCCTGTCACAGTTTGCACCAATTTTGTTCCCTTAGACAGGCTTATTTCTGTCTGAATTTGCTAGAAGGTATGTCAGCACAATGAAAAATAAATAATAAAAAAGAATTAGATGAAGACAAAAGCAGTTATTTCTAGTCTCCATTGCCTTCCCAGGAGAATATATCCCAATAATTGGAGGCTCCATTGTTTTGTGAAAGTACAATAGGTGAAATGATGAAAGATTTGAGAAGCCAGTGTGAGGAAATACATAGGTCATTTATGTACATCATAGGTGTACATAAAGAAGAAAGCAAGCTAGAATATAAAATCAGACCCATGTAGAGACACAAGACTTTGGGCAGAACAGAAATGTCTCATGGTGACAATTTATAATAATTAAATTAAATTATTTAATAAAGTAATTTTTGCTGTGTGATGTAAAATGTAAACTATTTTCTTCACTTCCCTCCAAAAGATTCTGTAAAATATGCAGTAATCATATATGTTTGGTGGACTGGATTTGCAACAAAGCCCTTGTCTTTTCTGAAGATGAGTATAAAAGAAAAGTCAAACAAAAACCAAGGCTGTCAGAAGAGACCATCACACAGAAAGATTGTACCAACAAAAGATAGACCAAAGGACTCTGAAATTATGGGAGGAAAATTAAACAGAGCTTTTTCCATTGTCATGTATCAGAAAACGTTAATATTTTCTAGAATGGCCTTTTATTCCACATTTTTAAAAATGAGATTTCATTAAAAAAAAAAAAAAACAACAACTGGATATTAGGCTAGGCACAGTGGCTCAATCCTGTAATCCTAACACTTTAGGAGACTGAGGTGGATGGATCACAAGGTCAGGCGTTCGAGACCAGTCTGGCCAACACAGTAAAACCCAGTCTCTACTAAAAATACAAAAACTTAGCTGGTCGTGGTGGCAGGAGCCTGTAATTTCAGCTACTCCTGAGACTGAGGCAGGAGAATCACCTGAATCTGGGAGGCAAATGTTGCAGTGAGCTGAGATCGCACCACTGCACTACAGCCTTGGCGACAGTGTAAGACCCTGTCTCAAAATAAATAAATAAATAAATAAATAATAAAATAAAATAAACGATATTAGTAATTGCTTAAGCAGAGAACATATTTGTATGAAATAGAACAGTTGTAATTCAGTAGATGTTTGGAATTATCATTGAACACAAAAGAAACAGAAACCATTGTGTGAAGGAATATACAGCTGTGCATTTCAATGACAGGCTATTTTCCTATGATACGTTGGCAGCTGAAAGACAGGGATATGCAGGAGCTCTAGGAAGAGTACCTAGATGGCAATTTCCCCTTAGGTTACAAGCCAAAGTAGTTTATTTATTTGTTTTTTGGCCTAGATTCACTGGGTACTGAGAAAGGTCAACATGTTAAAGCAATGTATTCAAACATTTAAAACATTTGAAATAGCCTGGGCACTGGGGAGTCATTCTAATTGCTGCTTTAAATATCATTTGGGAAGGTCAAAAGGAGAGCCTACAGACGGACCACATTGGAGGGATAACCTCTGCCCGGCAGGCTGCAGGGCTACAAATCCCAGGGAAGCTCCAGGAATGGGGTCGGCTGCAATCTGCTGCCAGCCGGATCCTGTGCAGCCCACAGGGGAACATACCCAGAGAAGGACGAGCAGAACATGGCTGCC